CAGAAAGAGGCAAACACTCTAACAAGGGGCGTGATTTACTGTTTTGTCCATCGTCCAGAGATAGTAAAGTGTTAACCATGCTGATTCCACCAGAAAGCGTGTCCTGCACACTGTTTATATGGGTCTGTTTGTTCTCCGGAGAGTCAGTGGGCAAACATTTGACCCGCACGCCCTTGCCACCTTCCCCGCGAGCTGCTCACCTTCTTTGGTGGCTTGGCCAGGATTGTTCGGGGTTCTAGCTGGCGTCCCTCCGAGGCTGCAGCAGGGGTCGCTGTCCGTGGAGGGAGAGAGACCCCAAGACGGGACCGCGGCGCTCTGCCCCGACGGTCCCTGGGCCCGGTGCACTCGCTGGCCCGCAGGCGCCCTTGTCAGGGGGAGGGCGCTGGGCGCTCCGCCGTTGCCCAGGGGAGGGCGCTGGGCGTTCCGCCGTGGCCGAGGCAAAGACCGGCTACAAAAGAGGAGCCCCAGGAGCGGAGGAGGCCGAGGCTCGGAAGCCTGAGCGGGGCCGCAGGCTGGCTTTCTCCCGAGCCTGGTCAGTGTCCGGCGGCGAGTGGGCCCGCCCCCTCATCACTCCCCCCCAATAACTGCCCCCCCAATCACTACCCACCCACTTCCCGTCCCTCCTCCCCATCCTTCCTCGGGGTTCCCCTTGGACCGCCGCCTGCCTCCCCGGGAGCCCGCTCCTGGCTGGAGCCTCAGCCCGGTCTGCCCGCGCCCTTGCTCATGCCGGGAACCGAGGTTAACGTGGGCCCCCCTCCCATCCCGCTCACCGCCGACCCCGCCCCGCCCATCCCCCCGAAATCTGGTCCTCGCCGGCCGGGCAGTTGGGGAGGGGGGCTGCCTCTCTGAGAGAAGGCCTGGGGGTCTCCCGGTACCTTGGGGGTGCCGAGGGCCTCCGTGGGGCTCCTTGTGACGAAGTGTCCTTCTGCCTCCCCCTCGGATGTGGAGCAGGGGTTCGGGGACTGGTGAACCTCATTCCCCCCCACCCCCGCTGTGTTTTTCAGAGTGACTGGCGGCCTTTGTCATCGTGTGTGTGTGTGTGTGTGTGTGTGTGTGTGTGTGTGTGTGACTTTGTGCCTCCCGGGAGGGCCCTAGGGCTCCCCGGGGTCCGGGAGGCGCAGAGGTTGAGCAGACCCGGGTCGCGGAGGCGCCTCTCGGTGCGGCCCCCGCAGGGGCAAAGCCCTTTGCCCCCGTGGGGGTGCTCGGTGCCATCCCCGCCAAGGGCAGGGAAGGGCGCCGGGGCTGTGCGGCCCCAGGGGCCTGGTCACCAATGCCTTTACGGTGGTCGCTGCAAGGGGGTCTTTGCTCCTGCAAGCGCAGGAGACGAATGGCTGTGACCCAGGCCTGGGAGTTCAGTCCTGTGTTTGAGTGGGGGGATGCGGTCACGGATCCCCAGGGGAGCGGGCACAGTGCTGTCTAATGACTAAGATAGTATACTCACGGGGAACCGTGCCCAGGGCAGAAAGCAGGCAGTGTGGTGCAGTGAGCGGGTCGCTGGCGGCAGGGTCACAGGACTTGGGTTTACATTCTGGTTCTCTCACCTAGTGGGCAGGTGGGAACTTCTGCAGGCTGCATTTCTCCTCAATAAAGAGGAGGGCTTGTGGCCGTAGTGATTAGTGCAAAACGGGAAGAGAAAAGAGAACTCCATATTCATTTCATTCTCTCTTGGTAAAAAAAAAAAAAAAAAAAGTTATTTCTCTTCCAAATAACCAACTTCGTTCAGACATGGGAGTCAGATATACTTCTGTGATGAAGTTACTGGACAAGGAGATGCAGAGGAAAACGCATTGGTGGGGCTGGGGAGTTAGAATACATAGTTCTTTCATAAGAATGTGACTGAGTCAATTCTCTGGGAACCTTTCTTTCCTTATCTTGTAAAATGAAAAGACTGAGCAAATTAACTGCCAAGGTCCTTTCTAGACCTAAAATCTTTTATGATTATATGCATTTAATACTTTAAATTTTATCTTATAAGAAAACATTTTCAGAAAGCAGTTTTTTCTAAGCTGCAATTTTTAGACAAAATGATTACGTTTTGAAAACCCAAGGACCAAGGAAGTGGAGAAGATTTAGAGATTATCACACAAACCTGGTTAGTTCACATGACATCGGAGATTATTCCACCCTGGTAGCAAGCCACTCTGAACTGGGTCGGTCCTTGAATCACCTGGAGCCCTTGACTTTATGAATTGTTGTAGGAACCTCTAGAATTTGGGCCATTCTGATATAGCTTTCCAGAATCCAGAGTCACTTCCATACCACAAAAGAGCATCCAACTACAGTGTTTGAGTAAACTGTGGATCAGTATTCTTTTATTCAAATTCTTTTATGCTGCTTTCATTTATTCCCCTTCTTTTGTGTGGCCTTGTTAATTTTATGTGGCTAGGTAAGGTGAACTTTTATGGTCAAACTCTAATCATCCCTACTTTTTTTTTTTAAACAAAAGCATCCTTCAAACAATGTTTTACTATGACATTTTATTACAGCAATTTCACCAGCTGAAGTAGAATGAAGGCTCTCACATAGGTCACAACCCTTGCCTTTGTGTATTTGAGTTGTTGCTCAGTTGTTTTAGTCTAGTCTGACTCTTCATAACCCTATTTGGTGTTGTCTTGGCAAAGGTACTGGAGTGCTTTGCCATTCCCTTCTCCAGCTTAATTTACAGATGAGGAAACTGAGGCAAACAGGGTGAAGTGACTTGCCCAGGGGTCACATAGCTGTCAGTGTCAGAGGCCAGATTTGAACTTGGGAAGATGAATCTTCCTGGTTCCAGGCCAGCACTCTACCCACTGCACCACTTAGCTGTCTTAGGTATTTATAGTATGTAATGTACTAGTATAATGTACTTAATGTACTAAAGTACTAGTATTTGGAGTAGTAAATTTTTAATGAATTGTACAATTTTGTATAATTATTACCTCAGGTATTATGGGTATTCATAGATTTTTTAAAAAAATAAATAATAAATCCTCTTAGTTACCCTGGTTTCCTCTTTTGAGCACAGTGCACTTTTTTTTTTTTTTTTTTTTTGGCGAGGCAATCAGGGAAGTGACTTGCCCATGGTCACAGAGCTAATAACTGTCAAGTGTCTGAGGCCAAATTTGAACTGGGGTCCTCCTGACTGCAGGACTGGAGCACTATCCACTGCATCATCTAGCTGCCCTGACACAGTGCACTTTCTAACTAGGATCCAGTTTTCCACGTAATGTCCCAGAATTTTCTAGTTTTTTAGTGTTTAACAAAGTTTTCCCTCATTATACTGTTTCTGAGTGTTCCATTTGAATAGTAATTCACATCTCCTAGTTCTCAAAGCTTCAGATAGGTAGTGCAAGAATTATTATCCTCTGTTGGAAAGTTTGAGGCTCAGAGGTGAATGGATACAGCTAGTCAGTGTCAAACCATGGATATGAACCCAGGTCTTCTGGATCTAATTCCAGGGCTATTTCCATTAACTCAAACTCTCTTAAGGATGGAATATTCATGACCTCTTAGAGGTATATATGTTTTATCTTTGGCTATTACTAGTGGACTGACTTTTGGTTTGGAGATATTGCAGCCCAAGGGAGTCTATTTTTGATGTTGTTGTTCTCTGGGGGCCTAAGTACCAGAGGGTACAACAATGTTGGAAATGTGTTGTTTTTTTTTTTTTACGTTACTTATGGAAGTGCTGTTTCATCATAGTATTATAGTAAACCTCAATATCACAAGTCTTTGAAATTTATGATATGTAGCTGTCCAAAATTTTTTCATTTCACATGTCTGTATAGTTAATTACTAACAACAACTCATTAAAGGAGTGACTCACCTTTTGTGAGGACTCTTCAGGGACCAGCCCCAGCCCATGGCTGATAATTGCTGACTTACTTGGTATTCTGTAAGCAGTAAATGTGTGGTGTTTGTAGAGATCATGGATTTGTTTATGTTCTACCTATGAGTCTAGTCTTTTCTACTTAATTGTAAGTTCCTTGTGGGTGAAGATTGTAGTGGTATCCATTTTAAACTTAGAGGATTTACGTACTTATTGAATGAATGGGGGAAATGGCTTCAGTTTTACACGTTAATAGTTAAACTACTGACTTCGAAATATTTTATTTGTTTACGTGTTAGTAATGCAACATTAGGATCTTCAGAATGTACAATTCTCCACAGCATAAAAATGACATAGGACTGAGAAAATGATTTCTTATTTAGAATACTTTTGAAATATAAACCTTATAGTGATGGATCTTGTTTTTATTCCTTTATCTATTTTAAAGAGCATCCTGGTGCCTTCGATTGAATACATAGCCGGAAAATTTAGTAGAAGAGCTCCAATTGTCCAAAGATGTATTTTATCGTCTTAATATTTTAAACCTCAAACCAGTCATTATTTAGACTGATGCACTGGCAAAATATTTTACTGTACTTAGTTATATAGAATTGGAAGGGATTTCATTGGTTATCTGGGCCAACTTTCTAGTTATGAAAGATACCTCTTCACCCCTTACAGGTGCCCTCAGGGGTGATCATCTAACTTCTGGTTGAATACTTCAAGTGATGAGGGATTCACTATCTAATAAAGCACCTCGCTTCATTTTTTGGACTCCTTTAGTTGTTATAAGGCTCTTTCTAGCACCAGTTACCCTCCATATTAGTTTTACTCATTGGTCCTAGTTCTGCCCTCAGTAGCTCCGTAGAACAAATCCAGTCCCTCATTTACGGATTACTTTACATCTTTTTCTATAGGATGACAAGCTTTGTGACTAATATTTTGTTTAAAATAATTTATTTTTTGTAAGTTATTTAGATATAGCTAGTTTAATTAACTATAATGGCGCCTTCTCTCCATTATTGGTGGTTACTCTAGTTTGATCAAAAGATTTCTGACAATTGAGAAAAAATAATTTTTTTGTCATTTTTATGTACAGGAATCAAGCTGTTACGAAAACACAAATAATAAGAATGCTTCACACACTAGGTATTAAAAATTAGGAAACCAATTCACTGGAATTTATTGTACCATGGAAGAAATACCAGTGAGAGTTGCAGTAAGAGTTAGACCTCTGCTCTGCAAAGAAATTCTTCATGATCACCAAATATGTGTGAGACAGATTCCCAATACCCAGCAAGTTATCATTGGAAAAGACCGCATCTTCACTTTTGATTTTGTGTTTGGCAAAAATTCAACCCAAGATGAGGTTTATAGTACCTGTATCAAACCTCTAGTGGCATCATTGATGGAGGGATATAATGCTACAGTTTTTGCCTATGGACAGACTGGATCTGGGAAGACATACACCATTGGAGGAGGCCACATTGGTAAGATCCTTAAGCTCCTTTTACTTATATATGGTTATCTGGTTTACTACCAAGAAGCAAACTATGAAATGAGACTAATAAAAATAAAATAGAAGATCATGAAGTTACTACCTTTGAAGGATTCATCTTGACTGCTGAATTTGAATATTTTGTGTGTGCTTTCTTTTGAATTTGGACAGAGCGTGAGACTAATGATGATAATAATAATAGCTCACATTGAATAGCACTTGAAGATTTGTAGAGCACTTTACATTCTCCTAGGAGTTAGGAGACCTGTGTTGTAGTCTTTTACTTTTTGCCATTAACATGGGGTGACCTTGGGCAAATTCTTTTTTTTTTTCCTCTTAGGCCTAGGTATTACTCTATCAGTTGTTGTCTGTAAAAGTGTACCTCTCCTGTTTAAACATTAACAGCCTGGACACAGACTGGTTAGGGGAAGGAAGATCTCAGGAGTCTGAGGGAGGGAAGCATGAGGCTTTAAGGGTCCTTATTTACAAAAAGGAGATTGACTTTGCTTTTTCACATGGTCAGTGAGGTTCTTATTGGTTTCCCCTGCTCACCCTCCAACTTTCCCGCAACACACATATTCCTCCAAGATCTGTACTACTTGGAGCTGATGGGGTCAGAGGTCAAACTTTAACTTTATAGCAATCCTTTGGCTTATATATATATATATATATATAGATATAGATATAGATATAGATAGCCATTCTTGTCTACCCAAAGATCCAGGTTGGGAGGGGGGATTTTTTCCCGATGTGTGCTGTATCTGTGGACTCATTCTCTGGGCTCATTTCTTTTGTCCAAAGGTGGGGCGGGCAGAAGCTGACTGAGTCACCCAATCAATCAATAAATACATGGAGGCGTTGGCTAACAAAATGAGAAGAGGCTATATCTTTCTTTCTTTTAGTGGGTCTACCTCTTATTCTGTAACTCATCCATACTAGTCTATATATCTATCTTATCTATTATGTATCTGTTTCCTTATGCAGGACCATTCATTGATTTATTAAACTGGAAATAATAGAGATTCCCATTTGGATCTTACCAATGAGAAATTAGACATTTAAAGGAAGTAACCTTTCCTTCAAACCTTAGAAGGAGAGGACAGTTGGCTACTATTTTCTCAGTATTGTTTGGGAAGTTTCTCAATATTGTTTCTCAGATTATTTGGGAGAGTAGGAAAGCTGTTGATAACCATTCCCTCAGTGTATTAGGTAACTGAAAGCAATTGGAAAATGAAAGAGGAAAAAGCCACAACATGTTTTTTACTGCTGTTTTTTTAAGGCAAGGGATGATGGCAATAGATAAGGCTGGATGGGTCCAAAATCCCAAAGAAGGAGGTTATTTGGAGAGAAGAGCTTAATAATCCAAAGTTGGAAGAAAACAAAATAAATGGAGATGGCTTTTTTCATTCTAGTTCCATGATTTTGAATACAGACCCCAGCCTCTTTCTAGAGCTGAAAACAAATTACATAGGTCTTGTTTTAGTGTTTCATATGTCAGGGTATTTTGCATCTGTAAGTCAAAGCGGCAGACAAGTACTAGAGGCAAAAGAAAGGACACCAATGAAGCATAACCAACAGGCACAATGACACTGTGTGAATGCATATGCCAATTGTCATGTGTATTTCCCAACCATTTACTTAGAGGAACAAGGTAGGTTTAATCTGCCCTTTATAACTGATTTTGGCATTTGGTTCGAGTTGTGCAGCCTTTTGGTGTTTTCATTAGTGTTATTACAGTTATTATGCATATAGTTCTTTTGGTAAACTGTTTTTGTATTTGTATAGCTTTTCCCAGGTTTTTCTGAATTTCTCCTATTTTCTCATTCACAGCCAGGACTTGAACATGGATCCTCTGACTCCAAGTTCTGCATTCTTTCTACCACACCATATTAATTTACAAATGATTTAACTTTAGCCTTATTTTGTTGTCGTTACAGTTATATTTTCTTGCCAGACTCACCTTATTTTAGGCTTTACTACTGCTTACCTCATTTTTTACAGGATTGTGCCACACTTCTATATTCTTTATTATATAAGGGTAGGGGGTCAGTCCAGTCAGTCACCACCCCCCGCCCCAGTCCTGATAACTTTATCAGGTAGTACTTTTATGATCTCTATGGAATCAATCAAAGTCATTTCTACTAGGGGGGACAGAAAGTCTATTTTGATTGGCTGAGGGACTTGATGGAGGCCTAATGGGCTTGTATAATGTCATCAAGTCAGTTTAATATCATTGCCATTTGAGTAAGTTCTAGTTAAGGCCCTGAAAGTGAATCAGTCATTGGGAAGGAGGATATGAACCTCAGGATCCTCCCCTCTTACCTTCCCTGCCCCCACTTTGATCCTCAGAAGAAGATCATGTGGACTTCTGAGAATTGGAGGATTTTGGACATCCAATCTGCAGCTTAGACTTGAGAGCATTCCTGGAAAAGCTGATACAGTGTCAACTCCAGGGGCCCAGGGCAAACTAGACAAACTGAGGAATGCAGAATTGTGGAGTAAGACTAACAGGAGCCCAGTAGAGAAACTCTACCATTTCTACAGGGAACCTTATAAATGCCCCCACAAAGGGAGAAAAGAACTTCTAGCAACCAGGATTTAGGAGTTATCCATTTGCAACATGTGCTCTCTAATCTGGAGCCTACTTTTCCCTGCACCAGGGGTGGGGAACCTGTGGCCTTGAGTTCTAGGTCCTTGGGTGTGACCTTTTGACTGAGTCCAAGTTTTACAGAACAAATCCTTTTGTGAAGGGGATTTGTTCTGTGAAGTTTGGCTTCAGTCAAAGGGCTGCCCTTGAGGACCTAGAAGGCCACATGTGGCCTTTAGGCCACTGGTTCCCCACCCTTGCCTTGGACTTTATATATACTTGTGGGAGAGTGTCACAGACTTTTTTTTTTGGTGGGAGAGGGTATGTTTTGTACCAACTGTTTTTTTTTACCATTCACTTACCTTATGTTTGCCTTAGTAAATATATTGAAGCCTTGAATGATGTGAGTTTGAATAATGTATCATTCAATTTTAGGCAAATTATAAAATGATACTGGGTTGTGTTTAATGTGAACCAAAATCCAACTAATGGAATACTGAGGTTTTAACACACTGTCATCAGTTTGCATTTGGCTGTCATCGCATGTGAATGTGATTTGTTGCTGTGTACCATATGATCAATAAGTTAATTTTTTTTAAAAGAGCCTATAACAAAAGGAAGAGTACTTCACATGGAAACACTGACAGTACCAAAAAAAAAGTTTGTTCATGCCTTAGAACAAAAATTTGTTGTAATTAAATGACAGGAATGTGGTCATAGGAACTCTAGTATTAGATATTAGAATGCCTGAATCTGTGGTACAGAATATTGTAAAACACTTAGGCGAAATAAAAGAAAAAGACAAAATTTCATCCAACTTTTTGTGTTTTGCAAACAGTCTAACAAATAGAAGTGTTGTAGTGATAAAGCATCTTTTAATAACCATATGGATTGAAGATTATAGTAAAAAATGCATTTCTCAGCAGAGCAGCCATTTAGACAAAATCTTTGAGTTTATTTAAGACAGTAAAAGAAAATGGAAATGAAGTGGATGGTGGAGAAACTTTTACTATAAGTGTTGGTCAGTTTGCTTTAAAAATTGAGTTTAATTGCATAATGTTGAAATTACTGAGAGGAGGCCAGTGCAGATAAGAATGCCGCATCTAAATAGCCTCATTGAAGAAAGTCATTGAAGAATGTGGATGAACATGTTTTTAATGTGGATGAAATAGGTTTATTTGGAAAAGGATGGATTTCTAAAAACTTGTATTGCTTAGAAAGAAAAAAAAACTTAATCTGTGTTTAAAGTGCCTAAGAATTGCCCAACACTTTTATTGAGAGGTAACAAAGAAAGGATTTAAAATTAAAACCAGCACTTGTTTATTGGTCCCAAACTTCTTGCACTTTGAGAGGCTATAACTGTCAGTCCCTTGCAGCTCTTTGGTGGTCAAATAAGAAAGCATTCGTGGAAGTTAAGATAGTGGAATACCAGGAAGAACTGCAGGGAGCTCCATCCTCACCTCTCTTCCCACTTCCCCCCTAAAAAACGACCCTACTCCAAACAGAGCTAGAAAATGCATCACACTGAATCCTGATGGAGAAATTCAAGAAAAAGTCACAGTGTGTCATTTGTCCAGCCCAGTTTGTCACAGGGGATAGAGAAGTCTGTGGACTGTCTAGGGACAGGACCTGGAATGAAGCATATCATACATAGAACACTCAGTGGTCCAGAGAGAGGCTGTGCACCAGGGAGGTCCCAGAACCATAGCAGGGCACTGAATGCATCATTTAGGATGGGTCACATATCTAGGATGGGTTGAGATGTGGTTCTGTGTTGTGTGTCTAAGGTTGCAAGATTTAGGCAAGTTAGCAGCTCGTGGTATAGCTCAGACCCCAGACTCAGAGCAGGGGTTCACTCCCAGCATTTAACCCATTCAGAAGCTTACAGAGGGATAACCAGGGCAGGAATTCCAGATCAAAGGGAGCCTTCAGTTCTGACAATCTGAACTGGCCGAGCCTCCCAAATGGCTCATATGGGCAGAGTCCTGCAGCAGTATACTCTTGCCCAGATTCCAACCCAGTTCAGGAACTTGCAGAGCTCAGTCCACACGGGCGGTAATCAAACTGCCTTTCATGAGACCACTTTGAGTCCACTGAAAGTTTTTCAGTCTCTAGCCTGTCCTTGAAATCCTAGAATAACAGAGAACCTCAAGAAAGCAGCAACAGGACCAGTCCGGACCTCTCCGGAAGTGTGCAGAGCCCAGTCCTAAGACCAAATCTGAAGTTAGGAAGTAGTCCAGAAGAATGAGCAAATAAAAAAAAAAGAATCCCCCCATAAAGAATTATTGTGTTGACAGGAACACTCAAGATATAAACCTCAGAAGAGAAGCACTACAAAAAATTTGCAAACAAAGCCTCAGAGAAAAACACAGCTTGGGCACAAACACAACTAGAATTCTTAGAAG